GAACAAAATGCATATGGAAGTTACCCAGGCAACAAAAACAATGAATCCAACTTCATATGCTTTATACCTGAACCAAAGAATGTGTATGGGCAGTTGGATAATGTGTTTGCATGGATCTCCACTGGAAATGTAGTGGATGCATGCCTCTAAAATCCTTACAGAAGAGGGAGGTCCAGATAAAAAACAGGGTACATAAGACTACAGTCTAGGTCATTATACCATTGTGCTAGCTGTAGTACTTGCATTACTATCTCATAAGAGTGTCTTCAAGGAGACTATGTAATTTTTTGTGTCAATGCTGGGCATGCTAAATTGAGTACTGTAATGAGTATTACTCTTAATATTTGTTTATTTTCAGACTGTGAACTTAGGGCCACTGAATTGCTTCTCTAGAATCTGTGAAAGGTGAAAAGGAAACTTATAGACAGTGTAAACTAGACTGCAATCTTGATATGAAAGGGTAAAAAAATCAGTGTTGAAAACAATTGCTCAAAATGAATAAATGGTTGCAGATCACAAAAGATAGACATCCACCCTTACAATGGTGTTTTGCAAGAAGGCTCTTCACACAAGGAAAAATTAACAGTTTACATTCCTATTGAGATATAAGCACTCTAACATTTTATTTTTAAAATAAAACCACGCCTTTCTATCCTAAAATTAATAATCATAGTTTCACTGTTTTAAAAAGTACAAACCAGATTAGGTGAAATATAATTTGTGTTTAGTTTTGTGAACAATTAGATCTTAACAAAATTAACTAATTTCTAACATGCCAAGCTGCTCTCTCCTGGATACGCTGCTGTCAGTTTCCATTTTTCTTGGAAGAGTTTGGGGAGAATATTAATTTTTGCAAATATTAAACACAATTACAAAAAAGAATTTTTTTTATGGTTTGCAGGAAACACAAAACAAAGAAACTGAAACAAAACCCACCCTCCTCCAAGACCTGAAGTGTTGTCAGCTCTGTTTACAAGATTTTATTTAAAAAAATAATTAAATTATATTTCCATATACATTGTCACTTTGAGTTAAAAGAATATTAAACTTTTTATTTCAAATTTCAAAATTGTTCTCTTATTCTACCACAGATGACAATCTGATTAATCTGGATGGCCTTAATTAGCATTTTTTGGCAATAATAATATATTTTTTAAAAGTGATATTCTGAAAATTTTTGTAATCCACCTCGAGTTGTGCGTGTGAAACTGCATGTGCATAAAGACATGTTCTGCAAAGCTGGTGTGAAGAGAACTGTATGAAAGCTATGCTGTTTATAGCACAGTTCCTCAGATGTAGATATACAGAAGACGACATTAACAAGAGAGCAGTTGCCAGTGATTCTCACACTAGCATAGCCCTCTGTACCATTTGCAGGACACCTAGTGCAGCATCAGAATTCAAAGACACTTAAATTTGCTTATGGAAACAAATGAAAGCTCTGGATTGTGACTTATTTCTGCTTCGCTCCAGCTTATATTGCTGAACCTTTTACAGAAAGCAAGAGAACTAAACTGAGAGAAGCCTGAAATCATCCATACAATCTGACTAAACCAGGATTAGGGTGCTAATTTTGGTCTCCTTGAAGAAGTGAACACAGTTCTGGTCTGATGACATGTGCTGTGTATCTGTGCAGCCACTTCTGTGGCAGCTGAACAGAGTATGAGCTAGGACATCACCAAGAGCAGCAGGATGTGGCCTTTACTCTCTTCGCACTTCTCCCTGACCAGCTTGTATACCTGCAAACCAGTAAGTTTAGTAGACTTACTCCTCAGCCAGCCATTGCAGCTCATAAGTAGTATGGTAAACTTGTAGCCAAATCACAAAAGCTCTCTTATCTTCCATGGAGCAAACAGCTTTCAAGAAGGAGGTAAGTTTGTAAAGAACAAAGAACATTTCTCATGCTCAGTGTTGCCTTAACTGTGTGGCCTCATTGTGCATCTAAACCTAGACAGCTAAGAGACTTCATAGCAAAAGCATTTCCCATATTCTTTGGTGTAAGATAGGACTTTTCCAACACTGCAATAAGTATTGCAAGCCAGTGCTCTTTAACAAGCTGCATACACAGTATGAAATCTGTATATCCCCATTTGCAGTTCACACACAGTGCTAATATCAGATTTAACCAGGGCAAGTTGGAAAACCCATTAAGCAATATAAAACAGTGACTACAATTTGAAATAGAGCTTCATAAGTCCCTAAAAAAGCACATACAATTATCAGGTTGTAAAAGAGACTGAAATGCAATTGGTGTTGATATTTCTTCTGAGACGGTAGGTTTATAGAAGTGCTTAAGTATGTGTTTACTGGAAGGATCCCAAAAGGAGATAGCGGTGGAACAGAAGTCCCCCTTCCTTCCAATTTTTTTCTTATGCTCATCTACCCAATAGTGGTTGATCCCTAGGTTGTAGATGAGATGCATACCTTTTCATTGTAAATATTAAAAATTTGTTAAGAAGAAAATGCAAGTTCTTTACCATACACAAACTGATTTTCCATTATAAAGCTGACAAATATATTAGCCAAGCTTCTTGGCAGATAAATATAATGGGATGATATACAGAGAGGTCTTCAATGATCCACCGGTTTAATGAAAGGCATGAGGTCATTCAGAGATATTAGACTGTCACTTAATCTAGCTCATCTGGTACATAAATCTCCACTGTATCCCTCTCTGTGAATGCTGAAAACGGATATAAAAGGTGAATTAGGAGTTTCTGCTGTTAGCACATAGATTTGTGGCCTTATATAGTATTTCTGTAAAGAGTATAAAGTTTGTATCCAGTGCTGTGATCTCTCCTGTTGCAAGTGGTAATATATATTGCTTTTTCAAGTAGTTTAATCTGGGAAGGATAATGCAGCACCAGTGCCTGTTCTGTCTTTTGATTATCTTCTCTTGAATCCTTGCCAGTGGACATACATAATGTGAAATCAATCAAACATATGGAAAGAAATAAGGGAAAACATCAGAAAAGCAGAGTGCTTAGGTTTCAGATCTTGGTCTTGCCATCTGAACCCTGGTTGAAACCATAAAGGATGCAAGCTATGATACTTGAGTGCACCCTCAGTAAGTTTGCAGACGACACCAAGCTGGGAGGCAGGGTTGATCTGCTTGAGGGTAGGAAAGCTCTACAGAGAGATCTGGACAGGCTGGATCGGTGGGCTGAGGCCAATCGTATGAAGTTCAAGAAGGCCAAGTGCCAGGTCCTGCACTTGGGTCACAGCAACCTCATGCAGCACTACAGGCTTGGGGAAGAGTGGCTGGAAAGCTGCCCAGCAGAGAAAGACCTGGGGGTGCTGGTTGACAGCCAGCCGTGCCCAGGTGGCCAAGAAGGCCAATCGCGCCAATCGCATCCTAGCCTGTATCAGAAATAGTGTGGCCAGCAGGAACAGGGAGGTGGTTGCTCCCCTGTACTCGGCACTGGTGAGGCCGCACCTCGAGTACTGTGTTCAGTTTTGGGCCCTTCACTACAAGAAAGACATTGAGGTGCTGGAGCGTGTCCAGAGAAGGGCAACCAAGTTGGTGAGGGGCCTGGAGCACAAGTCTTATGAGGAGCGGCTGAGGGAGCTGGGGCCGTTCAGTTTAGAGAAGAGGAAGCTGAGGGGAGACCTTATCGCTCTCTACAACTACCTGAAAGGGGGTTGTAGTGAGGTGGGTGCTGGTCTCTTCTGTCAGGTGGCTGGAGATAGGATGAGAGGAAATGGCCTCAAGTTGTGGCAAGGGAGGTTTAGGTTGGATATTAGGAAAAATTTCTTCACCAAAAGGGTTGTCAGACATTGGAATAGGCTGCCCAGGGAAGTGGTTGAGTCACCATCCCTGGAGGTATTAAAAAAGCGCGTAGACAGGGTACTCTATAACATGGTTTAGTGGGCATGGATGATGGTTGGACTCAATGATCTTGAAGGTCTTTTCCAACCTAAATGATTCTATGATTCTATGATTCTATACTGGCCTCTGCACTCTAATTCACTGCATGTCTGAAGATGTTTGAAGCCAATAGCCCAGTGTGGATGAGGTGTTGGGTTTGGTTTTGTTTTGTTTTGTTTTTTAAGGGGATTGACTGTTAAAACCGTGGTTTCAGACCCACCTCAAACCGAAGCATATTAACTTGTATCCACTTTTCTCAGGATTCCCAAACCAGAAATACAAAGGCTGCAGAAACAACAGGTATTTTTATGTTTTCTACAAAATGAGATGTAAGGGTAGGATAGTGTGTCCAAGCATTCAGAGAAGAGAATGGCAGAGCTGGACTTCAAATCTGTCAGTTTTCCTGGCTGCCAATATAATGCTCCTACACTATACAAGTGCCTCTGTCTTTCTGCTTTCTCAAAGGCTGCCGCTGTTATACTCAGCACCTTCAGGTCTGTCCTGGTTTCAGCTGGGATAGAGTTAATTGTCTTCCTAGTAGCTGGTACAGTGCTATGTTTTTGAGTTTGGTATGAGAAGAATGTTGCTAACTAATGTTTATTCTAAAGTCAAGGATTTTTCAGCTTCTCATGCCCAGCCAGCAAGAAGGCTTGAGGGGCACAAGAAGTTGGGAAGGGACACAGCCAGGACAGCTGACCCAAAGTGGCCAACGGGGTATTGCATTCCATGTGATGTCATGCCCAGTAAATAAACTGGGAGGAGTGGGAGTGGGGGGATCGCCGCTTGGGGACTAACGGGGCGTCGGTCGGTGGGTGGTGAGCAATTGCATTGTGCATCACTTGCATATTCCAATGCTTTTATTATTACTATTGTCATTTTATTAGTGTTACCATTATCATTATTAGTTTCTTCTTTTCTATTCTATTAAATTGTTCTTATCTCAACCCATGAGTTTTACTTTTTTTTTTCGATTCCCTCCCCCATCCCACTGCAGGGGACGGGGGGAAGTGAGTGAGCGGCTGCGTGGTTCTTAGCTGCTGGCTGGGATTAAACTACGACAAGGTCTCTTTCCACATGCCTAATGCTGGTACTCCAGGAGTCAGTATCTCTGTGCATGTGTTGTCCTACACACCTATAGCCATGCCCGTCATGACGGCATTGGGTAGATTCAAGTATGTTGATGCCTGTACTTGTAGTCAATTGCCTGTTTTTATGAAGGTAAGAAGACAACAGCAGTTAAGATATACAAACTGCATGAATACAGTCTATTCATGATTTCTCCTAAGGATCTAAAGTGAATTTAGTGGGGTTTTTTTGATGGTGACAGCAGTGCTGCAAAGACCACACTTGTTCTGGTCTCCCTGTCTTCGTCTATAGTGCCTTGACTACTATATGGAGACTAGTGAAACTATAGTTAGTCTGTGTATCCAGCAGGCATCTTCCTGATGTCTTTATGGATCACAGACAAGAAAAATTTAATGTGGCCTTGATAAATTCCTGAGCTACATATCCTTTTCAGCAATTCCCATTTGCAAGTGGAAAAAACCATATCCTAAATAGATATGCCACCATTCTTGATGTTCTCAGCAGGCCACCCAATGGAAATCAATGAAGATGGTTGAATAGTCAAGCTCATTATTTCATTTTGTTCCTAGTTTATGTGTGAACTGTTCTTACACGCCCCCTTCCCTGACTGTGCCCCTTCCTCAGGATAACTACAGCATCACTTTCCACTGAGCAGAGAGGATGATGAGATGCCAACTTCCCAAATGCTTGCAACAGCTCTTGCACGTGGTCCTGGGAATGACAACAAGGAAACTGATAGAGTGATTAGTCAATACTGAGACAGAAGATAAGGCTACACAGAGTACTGATGCGCAGTCCTCTTGGAAGGATTTAATAAGAGACCAAGGAGACAATGTCACCTGACTTAAGTCTACAAGGATTGAAAGTTAGTCTTCCTAAAACAAAGATATAAGACCAAAAGTGCTTTTCCTGTCTTGAAGGCACCTATCTTCCTACACCCTCACTTCAGGTCTGGCTCCTTTGGGCTGACAGCTATGAACATCAATTGGCCATCCAAATCCATTTTCATTAGTTTGGTGCATCTCTCTGATACCAACAATTTGTGAAACACCACACTTAAAAACTCAAACCTAGACTTCGTTACTGAAGTTTTTTCTGACACGGTGGGCCCTTCCAGTCACTAGTCAATAGAAAGATCAGACATACCATGTCCCTCTAAAGCCTAGTCTTTCCTCTTATACAAGCCCTTTTCCCCCAAATTATTTGAATCCACTTTCTATCTCTTTTCTCTGAAACTCCTCCTCTCTGGGCCACCCACTGCCCTTTAGGCAGTGACACTTATCCAATAACATGCTGAGAAAACTTTTCAAGTCCTGGCTTTTCCTCATCTACAGCGTCCCAGATCCTGTTCTTCCACCTACTAAAGCCATTGGCAAAACTCCATATACTTCAATGGAAGCAAAATCGGGTTGCTGATGGATAACTGCACTTCTTCCACCAAATCTCAACAACAGATACAGAGTTGGTAACTGGGTGGGCCAGTTATTTTTCTCTATTGTATTATAAGAATACTGCAAAAGTATCGTAACTGTATAATGCTGTACGTGTCTTTAACACTATTTTTTGAATCTTACATGAAGTACTTGGCTTCTCCCATTTTATTTCTTTCGATTTCAGGTTCACATGCCAACAACCACTTGCAGAAGAAAAAAGGACTGACTCTCCTGGCCAAATGAAAAAGTACATTCCTGATATGACATCCAGCTGAGAACTTGAATAGGAAGCAATATACTCAACAGGCATCCTGTGTCTTCCTCCAACCCATCATCCCACCAATTTTCTGTTCTCTCTACACTCTCAGAGACCAAGCATCAGCAGTTCCTTTACAGGATGAGCTTAGTCCGAGATATTTTATTACTTTAACCATTTGTTTGTAGTGGTCGTTGCTGAATGCAACCCTACAAAGACATGGATGAAGAGAGAGGAAAAGGTTTGAATACAACAAGCTGGCCTGAATGTCAGCCTAGAATGTGTGCTGAGCTGTTTTTCGAATTACACATTTATTAAGTGTCTCTGCATCCTTTTCTCTTAGTGCACTGCTTGGTTGCTTTTGTTCACCTAGTTCTGCGTGCTTAATGTCAGGTGCTGGTCTGTCCACCAGAACCTCCCTGCTGTTGGCCTCTCAAGTTAACAGCCCTTTTCTGCAATTCCTCTCCCTTGTCCTGCTGCAACAGAAGACATTCCTGATGAGACTGAATGCAGCACTCCTTGCAGGTGTGTCCATGATACACCTACAACCTCTAGGAAGACTTACAGGCCTTTCTGAATAGTCAGACATTTACTTTGCTATGATTGGCAAACTTTGCTGAAAAGGGGAATAAAACCAGTCATATAGGCTCAATATTGGTTATAATCAAAATGACCACCAAAGTAAACTCCGGAACTGAGCGTAAGCCATGACAGTTAAGACCTGTGCTGTGAGCCTCCACCAGAACACAGAGACCCTGGATGTGGGACTTCTCCTCCGTCTGTTATGGAGCTGGCCAGTTAGACAGGGGAAGTTTGGCTGCTCCCATCAGAGATTTTGGTATGCCTTTAATCATCTCAAAGTGCATTAATTATGGAGACAAAAATCAAGTTTACTTGCCAAAATATCATTATGGAAAATCTAAAATATGATGAAAGGTAGACTGACATTCCTGGAGGCTTGTTTAATCACATGTAAGTGTTTTATTTACCAATGAATTCCAATGAATGTGTTATGATGTCAGGAGCACATTTTAATGGGAACTAATGTTATCCAACCAATATTTGTGAATTTGCAATGTTGAGTAATTCTCACTGTTGGTTTTTATTAGTAACATCCTGTTGCAGAAGAGGCAACAGATCAGTCTGTACTCTACCCATTTTCATCTTGGGCCAAAACTGTTTTCATTTATTCCATGTCCAAATGAAGTGAACTGTTTAGTCAGACAGACAAGATACCATTATCACTCCCTGCACATCTGCCACATTTAAGTATAGTTACATAAAGATGAATGTGCTTTTTTTATATATTGTCATTAGTCAAGAGAATTAAAAGTACTTGGGCTTTATTATTTTAATTATAATTTTATTTTATTATAATTATTATTTTATATGGCTTTTATCTTGCAAAATAATCACTGTAGGGCGTAGTTTGGATTTTGGAAATAAGAGCTACAAACCCTATCTGGAGTTCTAATAAAGCCCAGAACTAAACAAACCCCAAATTAAAACAAACAAACAAACAAACAAAAAAGGTCTTCAAGATTTTAAGAAAATTTCAATTGTGACAGACATTTTGTGTCTGGAGTCCCTTTTGGTACAATACTCCATGGGAGCCCTAGCAGACCTAGAGTCAGGGACCGTAGATTTTACAGACAAGAGCTCAGTAGTGCCCCACAAAGAATTCAAGAAAACCCACACCCTTCTGTTTCAGGTCAGCTTCACGGACAGGCAACTTGCCATCTCTAATAACTAAGCTTACCAAAACGTCTGCAGGGATATAACAGATATGGCAGGTCACAGGCGACCAGAGATGCAGTACTATGTCACAAGAGTAGCAAAATGTTACACTTGTCTTTGTCAAAATTCACAGTCTCTGTGAGATGCTGTGCAGGTATCAGACCTCAGCTTCTTTTCTTCAGAAGCCTTGATAAATCAAGCACAAACCTCAGGATGACCACATACCTATTTTGGCCTCCTCAACATTAACAGAGCAAGACATTTTTAAAAAAATCTTACCACAATTCTTTGCTTTTTCCATTGCACTATCCCAGTCCCACAGGAGACTCAGAAAGAATCTTACCCTACAGTCATAACAGGAACAAAAATAATTGCACTTTACCAGGACTTCTCCCTATGGGGAAAAATCCTCTTTCATGCATTCTTTGACATCTAAGCAAAACTAGTTGCTTCAAGCAGCCCGGGACCTCACTCTTGTTTTTGTAGAGAACACTGGTGTTACTGAGAGGGTACAAAGACAGCTCAAACAACAGATACAAAAGAGAGAGTGAGAGAGAAAGAATAGTTTGACCACTGAGAAAACATGTGATACAGCATCTGAACCCAGAACTATTTTCCCTCATGACAGAAGGGCACCAGCCACACTGTGGCACTCAAGCAATATCAATAGCAATGCCAAAGGATATGTAATAATGAGGAACAGGAATATGTGCTTTTCTGTGCTTCACAATGGGGCAAGAGTTTCCAAAACAAATGTTTCGAAGGCAGAAATGCCCATGCAAACTGATGTATAACTCAGCATGCTGAGTGATAAATAACCATCTGGGAATTTGCTCTGCAGTGTTTATTTCTCTATAGACTTTTTTATATTATAATAAAAACCTAAATTCAGATGCTTAAAATTTCCTTTAGAACTAGATAACTATCTTTATACAGCTGATTCCACAACAGTGCACTGGGAGTGCCTTAGGAACTGAGATGGCAACATCAGCCGAGCATCCTCACAGACTCCAAGTGAATCAGGACTGGAAAAGTCATTTTGACTTTAGTCCTTTGAGTCCCTCTGCATGCTGCCTTTCTCTCCTTAACCCCCAGAAAGCCAGAAGAAATGGCAGAGACTGCTATTAATGCAGAAAGGCAAAGATCCTGAACAGTGCAGTAATTTGTGTAGTGAAATCCCACTGTAATATTTGCATGTTTCTAAAGCATTTTACAGCAGGGCTGCTACCCATGAACTACAACATGGTGATTTTACATAGCCATGGCTACGTAAAGAATTTTTTGCTCATACAAATGTCACTCCATTACATCACAAAGGGAAAAATGATAGGGTATGTGAATGGCAGGGTAAGGGAAAGAAACAGCTGGACATCATATGGTGAGATGCAAAACGGCTGGACCACACTACTGAAGGCATGAAGTTGTTTCAACAGGACTATGTCCTATCAACCTCTAAACCTCTGCCAGACACCACAAAGAAAATTAATAACATTATAAACCACAAAAGTGAAAAACACAAACCACACTCCTTGCAGCATTTTGATACTCAAAAAGTTAATGACAGACTATTTCATAGTAAAATGGGGTCCCCATTAGTGATGTTAATGTGACTTAAATGACTCTCATAAAGTATGATGAT